CCTTGCAGCTCCACTGCTGAGCCCCATGAGGGGCCCGGCGGTGGACCTGCAAGGCCGGCGGGAGTGCAAGGAAGCCCCGCGAAGGCCCTCCCTGGCCCCAGGCAGGCAGGGGTGGGGAGAGGCAGGGGGGAAGCAACTTACCCTCCCTCTTCTCCTGCCTCCTCCTGGCTGAATGAGGGCCGGGAGCGGGGCAGCCAGAAGCAGGGGGCGGGGCTTCATCATGTGCCCCGCCCCCCAAACCTCACCCGGGGGAACTGCGTTCCCCTGCGTTCCTCCCCGAAATGACCTCTGACCAGTACTCATCTTGAGTTTTTAACTGACTCTTAAGGTCTCCAAAGGCAGTTTCTAACCATACCAGGCCAGGGATCTCTGCACTCTTCAGAGCTAACTCCCTGTCTGACTTGGTAGGAAAATTCTTCTCTCACTATAAGATCTATCCCCTTTCTTTGGCCTGAATGGGAGTCTTTACTTCCTTCCCAAACTTCCTTCCCAACTTTCCCCCAGTTCGCAGTCTGTGTTAACCTGCTCTCAGCTAAGGCTGAAATCAGACTGAACTCAGTCAGGGCAGAAATCTGACTGACTGTCTCCTCAGCATGCAGCTCTCAAGTCTTTCTCTGCTCCGCTGATGCTAACCAATCAGATTGCATGGAGCAGCTTGTCACTCAAGGCTCTCTGTTTCTGTGAAGAATTATCCCTTCATAGCCCTTTACTCTGTTTGTACAGCACTTCAAAGCTTTTAAAAAGTGCTGTTCATCGCAGGGGGGATTACAAAAGAAAAGCAAGACGACTCAATATCCCATAATATCAGTGTGTTAAATTCCCATTGCAAAGCACCAGTGAAACAAAGATAGTCTAAAGACACCACAAATTAATATGGTTGTACCTGGAGTCTAAAATAAAAAATGTTTGAGCACACTAGGCTTTTTTAATACACTAAGGCCCCGGTCACATGGGAGGTTTTGGGACGGAAGAGGGACGGATCGGGGGCGCAGCAAACGGGCGCGATCTCACCGCAACATCTGTGAATCAGCACACATCCGTCCCCGATCTGTCCCTTTAGGCCTAAAATGTACACTAAAAATAAACCTAGTAAAAGGTAGAACCAACCTGACACGCCGCACCAAGCGCGGCCGACGGATCGCTGGCGTGCCCGTCTGCAGGAGCAATCGAGGCTCCCAGCCGAACTGCGCATGCGCACACATGTGCAGCCGGCTGCCTCGCGCTCCCGTCCGTGGCTTTCCCCCCTGCATCTGATCGTGCCGGGGAGCAACTGCGCGGCGGCTCAGGGGATCTGTGTGATCCCTCCGCTTTCAAAAGCCGCACTTTGCCTGCAGCAATTTCCCCCATGTGGCAGGGGCCTAAATATGAGTAATACACCAAAGCAAGGCATATTTTTGTAAGAGAGGCAGAAGAAATATTAATGTAAGCGAACCAATTTTTATCAGTTTCAGTACAGGCAATGTTGGAAAAAGCAAACGTCATCCTTAATATTAACCATCACTATTGTTGTTTAAGCGGCAATCCCTATTTGATTGTTTTCCTCTTGTGCCACATTCAACTTTTCCATTGCTTCTACTTTAGTTTGGTCCCAAGTCTCTTCTGTTTGTTCCACCCAAAAATATAGTGCTGCCAGTAACGTTACTTTGAACACCTTGCAGTTTCCCCAGTGGTCTTCATCATCTCCGCTGTTCTAGCTCTGTATTCAGTTTTGCCCAACCACATCTACTGTTTCTGCCTCATTAACATCTGGAAACTGCTGCCTCGACTTTGGCTCCAAATCCCAGTTAGGGAGAACAGCTACCATACCACAATTTTGCAAAGTTAGCTTTGAGGACCTTTTGCACTTCATGAAAGATTAATAACATTGAAGAAATGCATATTGTTACCAATGATTAAATCTGATTGCAGCTTCCTTAAAGGAATTATACAACTTGGTAATTTTCCAGCTTCCTTAAAGGAATGATACAACTTGATAATTTTTTCGCAAGTAATGGTTGGCAATTATTAGGACTGTTTCTATTCTCAGTCATAACACTGCTCCCCCCTCGCCATTCCTCTTCATGCAGTATTCTTCATGTTTATTTTTAATCTAACCTAAGTTTCGAAAGTTTTAATCCTTCAGGGTTTTCTAGGCAAATGTTAAAACAATTTAAATAAAACATAAAATGAAATACATGTTTAAAAATTAAAGAAACTCCTTTATTCTGAATGATTAAATACCCGCAGAGGTTTCTGCTATCCTACTCCAGCGAGTGCAAATGGAATTTTTGTGTTTTAATATTTTTTGTGCTGAGAAAAGTTCATTTCACCAAATAACCCTACACCACAAGGAGAGTATAGAATATAAATAATAAATATTTAATGCAGACCTGGGGCTTTTTCTTTTAAAACAGAATGACTGTACACAAACAGGGTTATTTTACAATGGAAGCAGGTTGTCTTAGCATCCAGCTACACAGAAACCTCTGCTTGCATCACCTGCCTATCAAAATGAAAACAATATATATTGAACAGGAAACATAGCTATATGTTGATAAAATAAATCTACAGTACTGATTAGTAAATTGGGGGGGAGATATAATTTTAAGACCTAAGAATTATCATGATGCTGCTAACATTTGAATGATCCCGATCCAAAAGACAGCTCCTTCTCCTTATTTATTTATTTAAAGCCTGACTTTCTCACTGAAATTCAAGTAATCAGATGACCAATACATTTAAACATTTATATCAACATATATTTATTTACTTAAACTAATTAGCTGCATTGTCCGAAAAACAGAAAAGTGTAGCCCAGTTGCAGAGTGGCTGCTGGTCTGATCTGAGTTATGTGGTCCTGGCTGGACAGGGCCCACTTACACTGTGGAAAACCTTCAAGGACTTGTGGGGGTCACCCCTATATTTCTTTCCCCAAACTGTTTCTCTCCTCTTGGCAGCCCCCATATCCTCAACTTTCTCCTTCCTACCTACCAACAAAACTGTCTTTTATCTGCCCACCATCTTCAGCATATGTTATTTATATACTTCATATGTACCCCACATTTCCCTCCAATGGGGACTTAAAGCAGCTTACATCATTATCCTTTCCTGTATTTTATCTTCACAACAGCCCTGAGAGGTGGGTTATGCTGTGTGACTAGTGAGCTTCCATGGCAGCCTGGTGATTTGAGCTCGGTCTCCCATATCCTAATCTGGGGTGGCTGCTGTTAAACAGTAGCAAGC